CTTTTTCGGAATTTTAAATCCCGTTTCTGCACGGGATTTAAGCAATTTGCCTCCATGTGATAAACTCCTAAGTCTTTCCTCATATGGCATGGTTTCCAAACCCTACACCATTTTGGTCACCCTCCTCAGGATATGCTCTAATACAGTAAGTACTTAAAATTTAACATTCTTCAAAATTCTTCAAATCTGTACATACAGTCGCCCCTCCGTTCTCGTGGACTTGAAGTCTGCGGTTTTGCATATTCATGGAGGGGCGACCTCCATTTAAATCAATGGGGCACCCCCTCACAGGTGTGCTCCTATGCGTCCCCATGGGGGCACTCCTCATTCAAGCCTATGGGGCTTGAATATTTGCAAATCTCTGTTTTCTTGGGGGGGGTCTGGAACGTATACCCCACGAAAACAGAGGGCCAACTATATGTCTGTATGTGTATTATATATATATATATAAAACAGTGTGGCATAAAAAGCAATAAAGTAAGTACCTAAAATTTAACATTCTTTAAAATCCTTAAAATTTGCATATATATATATATATATATATGAGTGACATAAAAGGCAATACAGTAAGTACTTAAAATTTAAAATCCTTAAAAATTCTTCAAAATGTCATATAAAACACGAGTGGCATAAAAAGTAATACAGTAAATACCTAACATTAACATCTTCCAAAATTCTTCATAATTTGCATATTGAGTCATATAAAACAAGAGTGGCATAAAAAGCAATACAGTTTAGTACCTAAAATTTAACTTTCTTCAAAATTCTTCAAAATTCGCATTTATATAAGTCATATAAAACAAGAGTGGCATAAAGAGCAATACAGTAAGTACCCAAAATTTAAAATTTTTCAAAATTCTTCAAAATTTGCACACACACACACACACACACATATATGAATCATATAAAGCAAGAGTGTCATAAAAGGCAATACAATAAGTACTTAAAATTTAATAATAATAATAATAATAATAATAATAATAATAATAATAATAATAATTTATATGCTGCCCCCTCTGAGATCAAAATTTAACATTCTTCAAAACTTGCTACTTAATTTTCTGATTTTGGTTTAAACCCCCTCCAGTCCAAAAAACACGCCCATTTCTCCCAGTTCACCTTTCCTCCTTTTCCCAGTTCAAAAGCTTCTTCCAGCTCCAAAGCCTCTTCCCACTTTCAGGAGGCCGTTCTAGGAAGAGCAGCACTCTATGGTTCTGGAACCATAGAGCTCTTTGGCACTATCGGCCAGATCGTCTCCCAATCTAGGGGGCGCTCTGGCACATACTCTCGAGGGTGGTGGAGGGGAGCTCTATGGTTCGCGAGAGTATGTGCCAGAGCGGCCTCTAGATTAGGAGATGATCTGGCCGATAGTGCCAAAGAGCTCTATGATTCAGCTAGGAAAAGGGAGGGGGGTAGAGAGGAGAAAACAATGTCATGTTAAAAATTAAGGCACAAGCTGCTGCCACACTGCAGAATTAATGCAGTTTGACACTGCTTTAACTGCCCTGGCTCCAGGCTATGGTATCCTGGGATTTGTAGTTTGCTGTGGCACCAGAACTACCTGATAGGGAATGCTAAAAATCTCATAAAACTATAAAAATCCCAGGATTCCATAGTATTGAACCATGGCATATAAAGAAGCCTCAAATTGCATTAATTGTGCAGTGCAGACACAGCCAGAATCTATGTCTTGCCTTTTACTCTGAGCAGTTTCTCTTCTTTACTTCACTTTACACATGGTATCCTGGGATTTGTAGTTTGTTGTGGCACTAGAGCTCTGACAGAAGACTACATATCCCACAGATTCATAGTATTGAGCCCTGGCGATTAAAGAGGTCTCAAACTGCCACACTGCAGAATTAATGCACTTTGACACTGCCATGGCTCCATCCTGTGGAAACCTGGAATCTGTAGTTTGTTGTGGCACCAGAGCTCTTTGACAGAGAAAGCTGAATGGCTCAAAAAACTAGAAATCCCATAGCATTGAGCCATGGCAATTAAAGCAGTGTCAAACTGCCTACAAGAAGCTGCTGCCTGACTGCAGAATAGGTGCAGTTTGACACTGCTTTAACTTTCTTGGCTCCATCCTGTGGAATCCTGGGATTTGTAGTTTGCTGTGGCACCAGAGCTCGCTGACAGAGAAGGCGAAATGTCTCACAAAACTACATATCCCAGAGTTCTATACCATGGAGCCATGGCAGTTAAAGCCATGGTAAATCATACTAAATGGTCAATACAGCTAAAGGCCTGCTTATTTAGGCAGGATTTTGGCAAGTGATTGGTTGTTTTATTTATTTAATTTTTATCCCACCTTTCTCCTTGCAGAGGACCCAAAGAAGCATTTTTATTGAGTGGGTGTTGTACTTTCTATATGTTTTTATCTTTGTGTTTGTTATTGTTGTGTGCCTTCAAGTCGTTTCTGACTTATGGCAACCCTGAAGCAAACCTAGTGTGAGGTTTTCTTGCCAAGATTTGTTCAGAGGAGGTTAGCCACTGCCATTCTCTGAGGCTGAGAGAGTGTGACTTGCCCAAGGTCGCCCAGTGGCTTTACATGGGTGAACCAGGATTCGAACCCTGGTCTCCCAGGATCCTAATCCAATGCTCAAACCATTACACCATGCTGGACCCTTATCTGTGTGGCACTGTTTAAATTTAATATGTGAAATTCTTGCATGCTTAATTCTGTTTTCATTCAAAATTTCCAGAGCTGCCTTGAGTCCATGTTTGTTTGTTTTTTGTCAAGGAAAAAGGTAGGACATAGAACCAGTAAATAAACAAGCCAAAACAGAAGATTCAGGATAAATCAGATTGGTGTAAATAAAACTTCAAACCTTACCACCAAAAACTTTGAAGCCAGGTAACAACAAATCTATGGTTGCATTCTCACTGCAGAAATAACCCAGTTTGACACCACTTTAACTGCCATGGAACTGCCATGGTGTGGAATCCTTCTATGGCAGACAGCTCTGGTGCCACAACAGACCTCAAATCCCAGGATTCCATAGTACTGAGCCTTGGCAGTTTAAAGTGCTGTCAAACTAGGCTATTTCTACAGTGCGAATGCAGCCTCATGAGTCAAAGCAGAAGGAAGAACAATCCCCTCCGAGGGAAAAGGGCTTTTTACACTGACATCTCCAGGTATATTTTCCTCGGTGTTTGAGAAGCCAGAATTTAACCGTACAATGTGACCAAAGGAAACCATTTTGTTAGCTTCCCTAATGAAATGTTGTGCGCCTTCAAGTTATTTCCGACTTATGGTGACCCTAAGGTGAACCTATCATGGGGTTTTCTTAGCAAGATTTGTTCAGAGGGGTTTTGTCATTGCCTTCCCGAGGCTGAGAGAGTGTGACTTGCTCAAGGCCACCCAGTGAGTTTCCATGGTTGAGTGTGGATTCGAACCCTGGTCTCCAGAGTCACAGTCCAACACTCAAACCCTATGTCACACACAAGAATGGATAACATGATTTCCTATTCTCCTATTTGGTCTGATCTAGCAAGGCTCTTCTTTTTATTCTTGTTTTTATTTTGTTCTGATTCGTCAGAATCTGGTGGGCAAATATTGGTGGCATTTCTTGCTTGGTTCAGCGAACACCACACCTTCAGCAAAACATGCTATATTTATTAATTTATTAATTTTAAAAAGCATCCAAAGTATTTCCAGCTCCTATACACCAAAAATTCTTCATTCCAAAACAGAAAAAAAAAAAGGAAATATTTGTCTTCGTGCAAAAGCATCAATGGCTTATGTAGTCTTTTTCCCTATTAGATATATGTTCCCTTATAAATGTCATACTGGGAATTGGTTGAAATGTAGGCCATGTCCTGGAAACAGCGGACATTGGGTCACCCTGTTTTAAGCTCTGTAGGGAGATCCTTCTTGGAAAGTTCTCCCCAATTCCAGTGCCATTCCTGATGAAACATGTAGTCCCTTTTCTCTTTTCAGCAGCACTAGGCCTCCAGTCAATACTAGCGTTCTTGCTGACATGGATGGAGCAGGCAGATGGGAACAGCAGGAAGAGGATTACTTTTGTAAGGCTTGGATGCTGAAGATCACTATTCCTCTTCTGTGGTTTCCTACGAGAAAGGAAAGTGGTACTATGGGAAAGCTGACGTCAAAATGGCAGCCCTGTCACTTTCAGTAGGAAACTCCCATCTCCACTTCCAATGGCAGCCCGTCTCCACTTCCAAATTGCCAGATCTTCCCAAATTGGTGGGGGAAAAGGAGTGGGGAAGGGGATTCACCTTCCCAAGCGCTCCCATAGTCATAGAATCATAGAGTTGGAAGAGACCACAAGGGCCATCCAGTCCAACCTCTTGCCCTGCAGGAACTCTCAATCAAAGCACCCCCGAGAGATGGCCATCCAGCCTCTGTTTAAAGACCTCCAAAGAAGGAGACTCTACCACCCTCCGAGGGAGTGTGTTCCAATGTCAAACAGCTTTTATCATCAGGACGTTCCTCCTAATGTTTAGGTGGAATCTCTTTTCCAATAGCTTGCATCCGTTGTTCTAGATCCCATTCTCTGGAGCAGCAGAAAACAAGCTTGCTCCATCCTCAGTATGACATCCCTTCAAATATTTAAACAGGGCTAGTCCTTGCCAGTTGTTGGTTTTTTGACGATACCAGTGCAGTGGTTAAATGTCTGTACTGCAGCAACTCATTCACAAACCACAAGGTTGTGAGCTCAATACCAGCCAGGGGCTCAGGGTCCACTCAACCTGTCATCCTTTCGTAGGCTGCTAAAATGAATATCCAGTACCCAGTTTGTTGGGAGTAATTGGCTTACACATTGCAAACTGCTTAGCAAGTGCTTAAATGCACTGATAAGCGGTACAGAAGTGTATTTGCTATTGCTATTGTTGTGTGTCTTCATGCCATTTCTGACTTATGGTGACCCTATCATGGGGTCTTCTTTGCAAGATTCGTTCAGAGGGGGTTTGCCATTGCCATCCTCTGAGGCTGAGTGTGACTCTCCCAGTGGGTCTCACCTGGTGGGTTTCCATGGCCAAGTCAGGATTTGAACCTGGGTCCCCAGAGTCGTAGTCCAACGCTCAAACCAGTACACCACAGGACTTGTTTAATCCAGATACAGAACTCCAGACTGAATTCTTGGCTCTCTCCAAGGGGAGGCCCATCACCTTCTTTGCTCTGATGCTTTGGGCCCAAAGGCCATTAACCTTATATCTGACCCTACTATTTTGCTTTTGTGGGTTTTGGAAGCAGTGGCAAAGTCTGGGCCAATCCATTCATTCTCTGAAGAGGGAACTCTAACCAGCCAGGAGGACTCTTTGGTTGCTCGGCTAAATCCTCATGGATAGGTCATTTCTGCTATGAAAGTCTCAAGAGAGAGAAATACTGAACCATCCCAAATTGGTTTCATCTAGTAGTGAGAACTCAAATGGGGTAACTTAGGCTCATCTATTAGCTTGCTTTCATATCTGCATTTTCTAGCCTGTTTTAACATAGAGAAGAGAGGCTCTCGAACTCTTGCCATGAGATATTCATATTCATATCTACAATGCTTAATTATTGCATCCTTGAAAACAAAACTCTTTCCACGCTGATGACATTCATAAAGTCTCTGGGAGTTCTCTCATGACAAACCAGTCCATCTAAGAGATATCGCGCAGACATCTGGATGTTGGGTTCCTTCCTTTCCTGAATGAATTCTCTAATAATCATTCAGATATATTCTGATATTCAAATATATTCTTCTCACACAGCTGATTTCTTTACGGTGATACAAACTGCCTCCCGTTTCTTCACATCCCCTCCCAGTTTGAAGTGTTTCTTACACACTCAACATTTGTATGGATCTTCTCCTTGTGAGTTCTCTGGTGACTCATCAAGGATCCACTCTGACTGAAACCTTTCCCGCACTGAGAACATTGGTAGGGTTTCAACCCAGAGTGAATTCTCAGATGGTTCTTCAAATATCTTCTCTGATTGAAGCACTTGCCACACTGGGAACATGCATATGGCTTCTCTCCAGTATGCGTTCTCTGATGGTTCTTCAAACACTGGCCCCGAATGAATCTCTTCCCACATTCGGAACATTTATACGGTTTCTCTCCAGTGTGAATCCTCTGATGAATTTTCAGGTATCTTGTCTGGTTGAAGCATTTCCCACACTGAGAACATATGTACGGTTTCACTCCTGCGTGAGTTCTCTGATGGTTTTCCAAATTTCTTCTCTGATTGAACGATTTTCCACACTGAGAACACATGTACGGTTTCACCAGAATCCGCATTTCCTGGTGTTTCATGGACATCTCTCTGAAAGTGAATACTTTCTCATCCTCCGAGCATTCCTGCCTTTTATCTCCGGTATGAAGTTGCTGATGCTTCATCCACTCCTCTCTCTCACTGAAGCATTTCCTACAATGGGAACATTCATATGGTTTCCCTTCATTATGAATTTTTTGATTTCTCTTCTGTGACTTTGTATAACTGACACTGTTGCCACACTCAGGAACATTACTAAAGTTTTCTTCTAATTGGTTATGCCAGTCTCTGCTCAAAACCTCCCCATTCATATCCTCAGGTAATTCACATTTAAACTTTTCTGCACTCTTTTGCTGATGACTGTCAGAGAACAAATTTTGGCAAAAGTTTTCCTCTGATATGGAATACTCATCATGGTCTTCCCTGTTAGGGATTATATCAATATCTGCATTATGGTGATACGTTTGATCATACTTGGAGGGCATGGTCATTTCTCCCCTTGTAGGTACTTTGGAAGGATGGTGAATTGCAACTGTAGGATCTCTGACAAGCCCAGTACATTCCTCCTCCAGCTCCACTGACTGTTTTCTGTGTGCCATTTTGGACTCATGTTGTTCCTTGCACATCTCAGCTATCTCCAGCACCTTCTCTTGGCCCATCTGCAGGGCTGTCTTGGGATTTTGCACAGGCTCGTCTTCTCCACACTGAGAATTTTCCATCTTGACCTGCCTTCCCTTTCCATCACCTGTGGAGACACAGAAATAAATGTTGCTTATTGTGTGGTACCGTAAAGCAGGACAAGGCACTGTGATCGGCAGTGTGATGTGGCAGCTAAAAAGGCCAATGCGATTCTACGCTGCATC